ATATATGTATATATTTATGTTAGGTTACTTAGTAAATTGAAAAAAGCCAAATTCAATTTCCATTATTTTTATTATTTCATCTCAATACGTATAAATTCAAGTAAAAGAAGAATGCATAATTCTAAATTGTTACCATCCGCATAACAGATAAAACATTTACGTAAACATTACTTTACAAGACCCCAAAAACTTAACAACAATGATATCCGTTTACTTTCGTCATTTATTAATGTTATCTCTATCGGAAATACGTTTACAACGCAGTGACAACCATTAATTTTATTTATTAAATTGTTTTTTCAATCTATTTTTTTTTTTTTTTTTTAATAATAATCGACGATGAACGTCGTCACACATCATTGATAAATGCAACACGAAGTAATAATGTATCTCATTTTTAAATTCATATATTTTTTTTGCGAATAAACACAAATGCGCAGCGCAACGCTATAAATTATACATAACAATAATAATGATAATAATAGTTTTAATGATGATAATTGTACAGTAATTATAAATACGTCCAACGCTGTTTTAAGTTTTAATTTTCAATATTTTTTTTCTGTTTTTAATCTTCGATAAATTGTTTATAACGTTATAGAGAGGTAAGATTATATATAAAGGAACTATGATGAATTCAACAGTTTTTCTTTTTCTTTTTTTTTCACTAAATTATTGGTTCTTCTAGTTATATTTAGAAAATCACTCTCAGCGTATACAATGAATAAACAAATGGATAAGCTTGTTTTTCGCTGTTCCGAAGTATACTTTTAAAATAATTACGTTATAAAGCATACATCGTCGAAACGGCGAAAGCCATCGATTTCTAGTCGACAGTTCAAACTTTAGATTCACTACAAAATACTCGATTAATATCCATAATAAGTTAAATACACGAGGACGTAGTGAGGGAAAAAACAGCGCTCCTACGCATAACAATAATAATAATAGTAGTAATGACGATGACGATGATTAATATTATTACTTACGAGAAAACGCAATGTTTGATGTTTTTTCATACGTGCACGTGCATGTATATGCATTTTGGAGAGATTTAATTTATCAGGGAAGAAAAATCGACCATCCAATATCTTTTGCGCTCGAATATTATCGGTATAATAATGCTCACAATTTCACACGATGCTCTTTAGATTATATCGGTTTTATTTTTACGCTTGCGTTGCTTCTTTGAGTCGTCATTTTTCTTTTTTTGTCACTTTTACATGGTGTATATATATATATATATACTACACAATACATACATATAATGTGAGCGCGTCGCGATCGATATTGTACAAGAATAACTCTCGTCTTCTTTATTTATATATTTTTTGCCTTTATTACTATCATTATTCTTTAAATTTACGCGTACTTTGTGGGTGTAAAAAGAATTCGTTCGGACCAAGTTAATCGTAGCCTATTGGCACTACTTTGTTGTATTAAATTTACTTTTCTTTTTTTGTTTCATTTATTTTAATCGATGCTGATTACTTTTATTTTGTTCTCTTTATAGATTCATTTATAAAATCGCAAACTACTGCGGCTTCTGCTGCTGAGCTGCTGCTTCGTCTATGCTTTCACAGATTTTGGGTTTTTTTTTCAAGAAAAAAAAATCTCCTCGATGTCCTTTACAGTATTGTAACGAAGTTATCCACTAACAACTTGTTGCTTACCAAGCATAGTTTTATNGAGAACATTGTCTGAAAATATTTTTACCATTAAATAAACGTGTGTGTTTAAGGAATGAGTTTTCTTTGTCATTCGACTGCCAAGTTTTTATTACCTGCACTGAAAAGCGTTAAGGCCTTAAGGTACGCATATTCGATAGAATCTACTTGCAGTCTATGAAGCGAACTGACACAGTCTTGTAAGCGAAAAATATGTTCTGTCATATAATTTAAATCGAAGTAAAGAATCTTCCAAAATTATCTTTTGAAAATAGCGTATCATACGGATGTGGAAAGATCGTCATTATCGATAATAATACGACATAGGCTTAGAAGAAAGATATGATTAGTAAGTGAAAATGGGAGTGGATCCAGAATTGACAACGATAAAGAAAAAGAGGAATATATAAGTAGATTATTCTTTTTTTTTCTTTTTTTTTTTATATTGAAATACGCGTGATGAATATGTATACTTTTTTTTTAAAGTACTTGATGCAAATTTTAAAAAGTCTAAGCCTCCATGACACTAAGAAAGAGGGTCTAATTCACTAGAGGACCATCAACACGCATTCCCGCGTGCATACCCACGCAACCGTTTTTTTTTTCTTTGTAAAATATTGGGATTAAAGTACATCTGAAAGGCGTTTCGCGCAATTATTTTGGCAAGATTTTGGTTTTTACTATAAGGACTTAATTTTTTTATATTTTTTTGGCACTGCGAACAGACGCTAGTCAAGGGAAGCAACCGCGAATATTTTTTTCGGTCAGAGAAACATGGCGTGTGACATACGCACCATTTACAATTTTTTTTTTTTTTTTTCTTTTTTTTTAATTTGTACATCTACAATCTTGTTTATGCATGGTTTTTTTCTGACTTTTGTGTTCCACTGCAAGTTCTTCTATAAAACCTCCAGCCTCGCGATTTTACAAACGATCCTTACAAATATATCGTATTATTACAGGTTTTATGTACCAAGAAAAAATACCTAGGATCTATTTTACATATGACATCTTTAGCCGCTTTGGTTCTAAAATATTTTGATTCCTAGGTCTGGCGAAGCAATGCCTCACGGCAAAATAAACCCGTAGCTTCCCTCGAGTGATCGTCGATCGCGGTAAATTCGGTCTACTTTCAGGGAGTTGAGGAGTAAGATGCAGAGCAAAGACAGGTCTCTGCTTACAATTGTCAGCGAAGCGGCGGAAATACTGCGTGCATTCGCGACGACAAGATAATGATTTCAGTGGGTGGCAGATTTTTTTTATCGTTTAACTGGTGTGGTAACTATTTATATGTGACTGTACAAAGGAAGTTGCGACAGAAAATTTACAAGGTTTCTCAGTTGTTAACGTAACATCTCAAACACCCGTCGGTCATATAAATATACTATTTTTGTTTACTTGTAAATTTTGATTTTTCCATAGAGCTGAATACGATGAAACAATTTTTTTTTCTCGTAGTTCGGAATTTGAAAAGAATTAATGTAAGCCTTCAAACGTTTTTTTTACGAAATCTTTTGTAATTGATTTTGAAAATGGCACTATTATTAAAGGTACACAAATATCATCTCTATAATTTTTAATTTTTTTGTGAAGTTAAGCGTAACGAGAGTTAGTAGTTTTGCAAAGTTTTTGATTTTCGTTGAAGTAGGTACGCGTTGTGAAAAATATATAAACATTTGAAAAAACACCACAGGGCAAGAGGAAAAATGAGAATCAGTACTATCAAGGTATATTTCCTTATAATCATGACTACATGCTACTTTATACAATGTAAAATTAACACGTAACTCTAAGAAGTAAGATGAATTTAACAATTTCAAGACGGTCAAGCAATTTACACTTCCCCACTTTTATAAATAAAAAAAAAGGAAATTAATATGTTTGACGCTAACACGCACTTGGTCACTTTTGTCAAACGTTTCTTTTTTCTCACAAAACACGTCTCAGAATGATCCGTGGAAAAATACGCCGCTCAAGCTTTACAGTTGGTACGGTCGAAAATGAAAAACACATCGTTAGATAACACATTTTTTCCCACATCTCCGAAGTACATTTTAAAATTCAATTTTTTTTTTACGCAGCTTAAAGTCGCTCTGTTTACACTCTGTTCGTGCGGATAAAACTTAATTAATATACATGAGAAAATGCGTTTGGAAAAAAAAAGATTTTCGTCCTTTGTTATGTGCAGTGTACATCTTTAAATAGCATCGCTGCCCGCTTATTTCAGTGCAGAGGAAGGATTCTGGTAAAAATGTCGTTGTATTTCAAACAAATTCCACAGGCTTCGTTACATCGCGCCTCCAGATCTGTATGCCATTTTTCTACACCGCAAACTAACTATCATAAAATATAAACAACAAAAATTAATTTCATTAAATAACACTGGAAAAATCGACCAATGCCCCATCTGTATGATAAGCACACACGGGCAATCAAACGAGTAACAATAAATAAATATCGATAAATTCATCGAATACCCTTATTAACAGTACCAATTAACTTATCAACGCAAAAAAGCATTCGATAAACAATGTTTTTTTTTTTGTTTGTTTACTTTAAGTAAATTTGATAAAACTTTGATGAATACAAATGTATTATGCTTATGATAGTTTAATCACCGTTATTAAAAAAATTTCACCACCGTCAACTCCCATCGTACACCTTATGCGTGCTTCGAGAAAGGTATGACGAGCCAACCACGCGGCGAGCCATTAATTCACCGGAGAGAGAGAAAGATATGTATACGATTTTCCACCCATAAACTCCCGCGACAAACCCATTAAAAAAAAAAACCCGCGATAACCCGGCCGTTTGACCAGAATCCCCCCCCTCTACTCCGTCTCCGCGGCAGCGTCAGCGTCGGCCGAAACAACGCCAACGTCGACGGTCTTGACCCTGGACGAGTCTTGGGGCAATAGCCGCAGCTTGTCCTCCTCGGCGTCGAGCATGATGATGCACGCGAAGCTCCTGCCCGTGCTCTGGTCCCTCGGGTATATGGTAACGGGGGCGAGTTTGTCCGCCCCACCGTCGACGTACGCCCTCAGCTTGGCGTAAGTCTGGGGAAAGTGCCGGCGCAACGACACCCCGCGCCGCTTGAGCTGCCGCTGCACGTTGGCGAGGCACACGTCGCGCGAGCACAGAGCCCCCCCGTCCTCCCGCGTCAACAGCACCAGAGTCTCGGGGGACTCACCCGCCCCATCGTCGTCATTGCACGGCTGGGACGCCACCAGCTGCCGGCACGAGGCCTCGAGCTTCAGCTTGGCGCACCGCGAGATCGGCTGGCGCTCCCACTTGACCGGGCCGCTGGTCGGCACCTCCCGCACCACGCACACCGACACCACGACTATCAGCCGCGTCTCCGGGTTGTACGACTCGCACAGCCTCACCGCCTCGGCGTACAGCTCGGCGCCCATCTCGCTCGGCAGGACGTCCGACCAGCGCGCGTAGCTCGGCTCCCCGAGCTCGTTGAAGCCCCCCCGTATGAACTGCTCGGCTGCCTCGGGGCTCGCGAAGAAGCACTTGACCGCGCCCCGGCCGTGGGCGGCCATGCCCCGGCGCGCCACCAGGGACACGTGTTTCAGGCAGCTACGGTCCCGCTTGATGCACGACAGCACCTGGATGCAGAGGTTGCTCGCCCGGGAGTAGAGGCAGGTGCGCCTGTGGTGGTGCCAGTGGGCGCGCCTGCACTCGCGGCAGCAGTACAGGGCCGAGCAGTTGTGGCAGCGTTTGTAGGTGCGCCGGGCCTCGGCCAGGGCCGCCGAATTGGTGCACTTGCCGTTACGGCAGCGGACGAGGCGCTCGTTGTTGTTGACGTTCTCGAGGCTGCTGGCGCTGTCGAAGCTCACGCGCCGCTGGCGATGATGCTGCTGCTGCTGGTGGCGGTGGTGTTTGTGGTCGCTGCCCTCGCTTTGGCGGCGTTGGAGGGGTGCCCGGGAAGCCTGAGGTTCCATAGACTGGGCGCGCTGCTTTTGCCCTCCGCTACTGGCAGCTGCTGTTTGGACAACAAAGACGTGCCTTTTTTTTTTACTGGGTTCGTGGTGGGACTTTTTTTTTTCAATTGATGGGGGAGTGCTGCGCTTGTGAATGTTTGGTCAGGCGGTGAGAGGTCGGGTGTTGGGTTATTCGAGTGATTGATTTCGAGGGTGGCAGTATTCGTGATTGTTTACTTTTCATAGTGTTTAAAAAGCAAAAGGGCTTAAGGTGCTCCGAGAAAAAAGTTTCGATTCGCATGAACCATAGGGGTTGACGTGGCCGAATCTTTTTTTCTCGGGTTGTTTATGCACGAGTGGCTGGACCGAGATTTGGATGTTTGCCGTGTCATGCTGATGAAAATTTAATTATAAACAATTTTATTTTTTTACTCGCAATAATTATTATTTTACAACAGAAGCAGTGGTGTAAAAGTACACAGTATAGTCCGAAGTCGCCATTGTGCGTGTCTGATCGAACCCTGACTACTTCTACTTAAAAAGTGCTCTACGTGACGTTTCGTTTTTTAAATATTTCTTACTTACCGTTTTGTATACTATATGCAGGTAAAAATAATTATTTGCTGTTAAATAAGGCTGCTGTATAGGTCACTTCCTTATTAGTATGTATATTATTACATGGTACATTGTGTGTTATTTTACGAGCAGTAGCAGCCCACAATTACATAGTTTCATGAATTCCTGTTCCACGAAAACTAAAATAAAAGACATTGTGCGAATTGCTTCGATGCAAAATATATCCAGCGACTCCAGCATAAGCCACCAAAAACACTTAAGCGCAATCGCCAGGGGAGAGATGATGAAAAGTGTCGTCATGGGCCATATGATGTGACACGATAAGCGTCTAATTTGCAGCTGTACACGAAATATACAACACATACACAGCCACAAGCACTCGTGAACAATGTACACTTACTTATTGTGTTCTTTAACATCAATGTGAAATGACGGAGTGAAATATATGTCACTGTTGTATCCTCGATTCCATTTTTCTTTTATTACTCAAAGTATGCCCACGCGCAATCTCTTACATATACAGATGATAGATCGGTGTTGTTCCTTCTGCTCGTGTGATTATTACTTTTCGGTCGAATACGCGCGCAATCGATTGGTTTTCCGATTATCAACGAAGGTGGCAATCAAGTACAAGAACGAGGCTTTTTTTTTTCTTCGGTTTTGGTTTTCCGGTCCGTATACGTGAGCGTGAGTGTACTGTGAAAGTGCGCGCACGTAGGTGGGCGTTTTTTTTGTATTATGTCAAATAAAACAATGCTCGGTGCGGAAAAATATTAGTTTACAAAAGTGTGTGCAGCAATAGTAGCATACAGAATTAAAAAAAAAAAAAACAAATAATAATATTAATAATAACATAGGTACACACCAAAAGGTGCGTTCGAATATGCAAGAAAAATGCTTTTACTTTTCATCATCACAGCATATACAAATAAATGGTGAAAATACTTAAGAAAAACATTCACTATGAACTTACGTTAATCGCTTTGTTGGTTCGGTGTTTTTTTGTACTTGAAATAATCAGTGATGCACAACAGAGGCATTCGTCATTCAAATACTGTGATATATTAACAATTACTCCGAATGAAAATCATTTCAGTACTCACAGATAAACTAAAAGTACAAATTGCAGTCTTATGCAATCCAACATTTTAAAAATTTTTTTTCACGTAAAAAAGTCTCAATCGGTTCCTACTGGCATAGTTAGTATCCACTTTTGACTATCAATGATTTCATGTCGTGCAAAACCCAATCCTCGTAAAACCATTGTATTTACAAATAAACCATGTAATCTCCAATTACAGTTCTACAGAATCGTCCGTCGTGGTCTATCGTGACAGCAGCATCTCGATCATAAGTATTTCCCGAATCAGTTACCTACGCGTCGTCATCGTCATTAGGATATGATACAGGGAAATGATGGAGGGAAGTTTGATGAACTCAATTGAAAAATATAAATAAAGCGAAATAAAACAAACGTATAATTTTTAATGAAAAAAAAAAAAAAAGATAGCGTGATTACAGAGAAAAAATCGTGAAAAATCCATCCAAATAGACAAAGTAAAGCATGATAAAGTACACAGCNTTTTTTTTTTTTTTTAACTACGAGCTTCAAAAAGCTATTAAACATACCAGAGCCGAGTGATCCTCGACGCTTCGACTTGTGCAAACTTCGTTTCCCAATGTGTTGTGATATACAATACCATACAAGCGCTGCGCAGTGAGTAAAAAAAGGCTGTTCGGCCATCACGCCAATATTGACTGTTGACACGCACAAAACGCCCTTTAATCTTTTAATCTTCAAATAACTTTGTCACATGTTATACATTACTTTATACTTCTCGAATGACAAAGGCTTCATGATTAATCAACACCGAAATTCTTTACGAACAATCGATTCTTGTAAAAAAGTTACACACACAACATATATATCCTCGAAATTGTTGCGACAACAGTATAAAAACACCTACGGGAGGCTAAAAACTGCAGTTTCTCGGTGAATGTTCCATAGTCATCTCACACGAATTTCTAAAGATGTATCCTGCATGAAGCGATGGGAGTTCCAAAGAGACTCTTTTGGATAAAATAAATTTTTGACCACCAATTTTCCACGGACTTTCCCGAGTTCTTAGCCTCTCACGCTGCTTTTTTTCCCCCACTGCGCTCTCCAAATATTGTATAGAGAAGAAAAAAGAAGACAACGAAGAACGCACGTGATTACTATATTATCTCGATTGCGGGCTAAAAAAAAAAAAAAAAAAAAAAAAAAACTAAAACAAAGTCCCCTGTGCAACGCTACGACCCGTGTGCTATGCGAACAATGCTGCGTGTAATTAAAGATTACTTTTTTTTTCATCTCTTTACTCGTGGCATGACAAACAGATGCATGATCAGTACAAAAAAAAAAAAAAAAAAAAAAAAAAAATAAAACCCAGCGATCGGAGATAATGATACCGAGAGGTGAATAAAGATGGGACAAAAAAAGCACGCGGCAGTCGACAAACTTACACGTACATATTAAACGCACACCGGCCTACCTTCGTGGCCCTCGGTTCGACTCGTTCACCGAGCACCATCATCATCATAAAGTCTTGTTTGTCGTCATTACCAACATCATCGTCATCATTACGATCACAATGAAGCATCAGGTGTGGCTCAATAATGCCGGGAGGGCGAGCCAGGCAGAGTGGCATCCTGGTGATGTTGGTGTTGATGCTGCTGCTGCTGATGGTGGTGGTGGTGATGGTGGGGCTGATGGTGATGGTGGTGGTGGTGTTGATTGTGATGATGGTGGTGGTGGTGGTGATGGTGGTGCCCGGAGCCGGGGCTCGGAGTCCGCGAGGCCGGGGGTAGGCCAAGCAGCGAGTCGAGCACGTCCTCGAGGGTTGTCGAGCCTGGACTGGGCTTGCTCCAGAGTAGCACGTTCATTTCACGCTCGGTCTCGGTGATCGTTGGCGCTGTGGTCACTCCAACCATGGTCTCGTTGACGGCTATCACGGCACCATCTGCAGTACACGTTGTCATCGCAGCAGCGGCAGCAACGACCGACGACGACTCCTCGTAATGCCCTACACGCACCCAGGTAGTTGTGTACTTTTTTTTCTACGTTTTTCTTCTCTTCTCTGTTATTTTTTTTTTTTTTTATTTCTCATTCGTGCAACGGCGTACAGAAAGTTTTTTGTGTTTTTGTTTTAATTTTCATTGTTGGCTCATGCTTTTTTTTCTCCGAGTTGTTTTCAAGCTCGGCTGGGGAGACAGAGGGAAAAAAAGGGAAAAAGGGAGGGCCATACTTTGGTGTGTTCATGGTGGGTTGCCAAGAGCAAGGTATTCACAAGAAATTAAAGCGAATAACCCAAATTTTATTTAACTTGGTGGTCTGCAAAAAAAAGGTTGATTTGATGGTCACGTAAAGCGTGTTTTTCATACTTTTGCACTTTTAAATACTAAATTAAGCCAAAAAAAAAAAAAGCTTTCTTTCAAAGTATTAAAAACGAATGAAAAATATTATTGTTTACTGTATATTTTCTTGTACATCTGGACATGCTAAATATGATTTCTTTAACAATAATTTTTACTTGACTTATTGAAAATGTAAAAGTATTGACGCGCATCCAGGTTACATATTTCAAATCTGATGCCACGGAGTAGGTAATTTTACTTCAATAACTGCAAGTAAAAAAATCCCATACAGACTTGTGCAACTTAATTACCTTCTGCATCGAAATACTTGCTCATGACTAAGGTTACAGGTTCAAGAAATTAAGGATGCAAGCCGATGACTGCGTGCAAAACGACATTTTTTTTTTTTTTTTTGATAGTATCAACAAATTTATATTGAAACTTCAAAAGTTGATGTGCTCTCTCATCTTCGATTCGACATAATTTTGGTTTACACTGTAATTTTGGTTAGTATTGCATTTGACGCAATCGACATATCGTAATAAACATTGTAAATTGATTTGACTCTGATTTCTTTAGCTTGGCTCTGCACGTAGCGTGGGGATACATATTTATAATTATAAAAAGGTATTCAGGAAAAGAGGGTATCAAATGGATACATACCACAGATGGGATTCACATTTACGAAAAAAACACCTTGGGAAACCAAAGAACTCCAAACGTAATGTTTAAACATCTAGGTAAACGATAAATATGTACTCAAACGTCAATCACTTTGTCGATCGGAAATATAGCAGTAGAGACAGAAGAGGAGAACAAATGCGATTCTGAACAATCATTGGAAAACTGTTCTACAGTGGAATAAAAAAAAACAAATATAAATAAGAGTAATACAACCAGCAGGAATCAGGTCTAATGTATATTAATAATAAAAAAGAAGAATAAAACGGGGCGAACGGTATACGTCTTTGATGCTAAGTGAAACTGGATTATTAAGGTCCATGTCGACACGTCGTCCTACTGACATACCCAACATCATTTATTTTTATTCTCGACTACAATGGATGTCATATATTTTTCAGTAAGGATCAGTATAAGTAGTACAGGTCGTTCAATATTTATGGATACGTTCTTGCGGGTTATAACTTTAAATATTTATACACCATCGAGATGGTAATACTTTCTTAACGATGACTAACAACAAACAAATGGGTATAAGGTAAAATATATTCATATGAAATGTTTCATACTGATATTTAAAAAAAAAACTACGTTACAGGGTGCGCAAAACTCCGTCAAACTCTGTTGTACAAAATTTATACTTGTCATACCTACATGGACGTCGTTTTTCCAAAGATGGGTTATTTACAGATCTCATCGGCTATTTCTAATAAAACTTGCCTATGATACAATTTATATATACATATATATTTACAGGGATTTAGAGCTAGCAAGTACACAATGCTTATTTGAGGGGGAAAAGGTAATGTAGCAAAAAAAAAATATAAAATTTGAAAAAAAGCAAAAAATAGGTGCTATGACACAAAATATCGTTGCTATAAAGATGTATATATTTCTATGGGCATAATGGAAAATAAAAAGAAAAATAGTCACTTACCGTTTCAAGCGAATGAAAAACATATGGTACAGTTGATATAAATAAGAGATCAACACAATAGTGAGATGCGTATACAGAGAAACGATGCAGCAATTATGCAATATAATATGAAATTTGTAGAAAAGATGCCAAGTGTTGATAATATATATATATGTATGGTGAAAAATGCACAAAAATAATAATAAATTAAGGTGGTAAAGTAAATAAAAAAGACGGAAGAACACAAAAATACAAACAATAATTTATTTCTTTCTCTCATTTTTTTTTTATCTCATTCTGCCAAGGATTAAATATAGTAATATTAGATCTACAAATAAAATATTAATATTAATTACTGCTGACGCAATCGTGTGGGTATATATATATATATAAATATTTGTTTAAAATTCATTATTTGCAACTTCTCTGTCCGCGCACGTGCAAAATCCAAACAGTAAAGAAGGAGATTCTCGGCATGAGCTGCAATTTAGCGCCAAATCGCCTTTCTTCCGCTTTATTCTCTTTATCACGACTGCATCGCGCGAGGGTAAATTTTTCAAATTTTTATTTCGTTGTTTGCCGCGTGCAGTTGTAAACGCAAAATAAAATCACACAGTGTATTTAACAGCGAAAAAACGTGAGGCACCGAAGAGAAAACAGCGGAGCATAGGCCAACGAAGAAAAAATAAAATAACTCATGGTTTACCATTCGCATATGCATTTGCGCGTAACAAAAAGAAGTATATTTCATCGACGACCGTCAGCAGTGGTAGTAATAATCAATATGATAATAATAATTA